CCCACACTGACCCCCCCCCAACACACACACACACACCCACCCACACTGACCCCGCCCCACACAGATACGTCCTGATAGACTGACCCTGCCTTCCTCGTCCTGTTCTGACATCATGGCACTCCAGATCTGGAAAGAGTACTTGAGCTGTGGTATCTGCACTCGTTGAACTTTGATTTCTAAGTCAGCTTCAAGTCGCTCCACTACCTACGGAAACGGAAAACACTTTGAGCTTTTTCTGACTTCACAGCCCTGAAACTCCAGGAGCCTTTTCTACCAGAGCTCCCTCATGACTGGCAAAGACTGGGGTCAGAGCACAGAGGCCCAGAGAGACTGGAGAGAATGAGAGCCAGTGTCAGAGCGTCCAGAGGTCCAGACTTAGAGGAATACTGTTTTAGAAAAACCGTAGTAGACAGTGACTTAATACCAGAGTCAGGCAAGCCTGCTCCTCACCTTTTTCTGTGCTTCAATTAATTGCATGTCGATGGGGGACACAAAAATAGAGCCGCCATCATGAGGAACCGAGAAGAACCTAAGCTTCTTCAAGTCAACGTCTGAGGACAGGTCTAACCTGCAGAGTACAGAACACATGACCAAACACACAAATGCCTTAACAGCTGGATCCAGAAGGAATCATGCACAAGTGGAAATTGCAGGGAAGGGCATTTCAAACTGAGAAGAGGAGGTGTTTCTTTAACCAAAGAGTTGTGGAAGTCTGGAACGAGCTTCCCAGCCATGCTGTTGAAGTAGATACACTGGATTCTTCCAGGAAAAAGCTGGGTGAGATCATTGGATCAATCAACACCTAAGATGAAAAATTGGCCAGATGAGTGGAATACTGTAGCCTTCTCTCATTTGTAATCTTTCTTATGTTCTTATTAACCACTGTAAATATGTTGATTTCAGCTTCTACAGTACATTCTACATCACAATTAATGTAAAAAAGGTTGAAATATCTTAGTATTAACATCACCTTGGTCACACACCTCCTGGCCTCAGTGCAGAGTGCAGTGAAGTGTCTGGGGTGCTGTGTGAAGAGTATGGGTGCAGTGAGGTGTGAGGAGTGCAGCTTACAGTGTTGGGGTGCAGTGTGAAGAGCTGTGGTGCAGTGAGGTGTGTGGGGTGCTGTGTGCAGTGTTGGGGTGCAGTGCCATGTGCAATGAGTGTGCCTTGCAGGACAAAGTGCTCTTTACCTCTGCGCGTTGGGCCCAGCCATAACCCGCAGCATGAGTAGCAGGTCCTCAGCATAGCGGCACATGGGACCTGTGCATAGGAAGTTATTCTGCAGACCAGAGGCACAAGGGAACTGACCCTCATTGGGTACAATACCTAACAGCACAGAGAGAGGCCCCACTGTTACACACCGTATAACACAGACAGTGGCTGCACTGATACACACAGAACAAGATAAGACGCCATTACACGCTGCATAACACAGAGAGAGGCTGCACTGATGCACTCTGAATAACACAGAGAGATAACATTACTCGCTGTAGAACACAAACAGACACTGTTGATATACTCTGTATAACACGGAGAGACACTGTTACACACTGTATGAAAGAGAGAGGCTGCATTGATACACACTGTATAACAGAGACTTTTACACATTACATAACCGAGACTGCACTGTCAACTGTATTAGAAGAGATAGAGCAATGTCATCCACAGGAAGTGGAATGGCATTAACTGAAGGAGTTTGGACAGCAGCAGTAGTGGCACTACGTGTGCTGCCGACATCTCTTGGTAGCAACACACTTGACAGCCATTTCTAAGACAGTTGTAACCTTTTTACCTGTCCCATCTCTGGTTACAGAGCCATGAGAAATGTTGAGTGCCCTGAGGTAATGTTACTGTAGTGCAGAAACACCCTGGTTTCTCTTCATTTTCCAGAAGAGGGTGTCTCGAACAGACAGAGAGACGGGAGAGGCACAGATAGACCCCTGTGTGACCTCATTGAGGATGATATTCCTCTGGGCATGTCACCTGATTTGAATAAAGGTTTTACGACCAACATGTGACAGCTACCTCAGCCTCTGCAGCAGTAAGACTGGGCTTGGATGGACAGCGTTCTCGTACACACGGGGTAGTCAGTTGCGAGGGTAATACAAGAAAAAATACAAATACAGTATTGCCTTCCAAGGTACAGTATATATTACATCTGTGCTTCAAGGCAAAGTCAAAAATAAAAACCTCATTTTAGATCATTGTGGTGTTTTAATATAAACCATTTTAAATTGAAACTAAATACAATTTATGTAATTACTGTATAATGCATAAAAAATTGGACTGACTGAAATGTCGGCTTTTTAAATAAAAAAAAAACTGAAAAATGGGAAACACTGAGACTGAAGAGGATACTGATGAAAAAGACTGGTGTTTATGCTGATGCATTATCTATATATTCGACCTGCTTTGTGAGGAGGTAGTACAAAAGAGAAACAGAAAATTCTACACTCCGAAGCCTGTCTTTTATCCATTATACTAACAGGCTCAATCAAGCTAGCTTGCTTAAAAATAAATAAAAACTGTGCATTTCTCTGTTGGCAAGAAATCGCACTGGACATCACATCATCAGACCAGGAAAAGAAAACAAAATGGACTTCTTAATAATACTAATTGTCTGGTTGGCTATATGGAAGCTACAGATATCTTACATCTCCTAGACTATGAAAGCTAAAGACAGTCAGGCCCAGAGCCAGGCATACAGTAGAAGGCAGCAAAGAAGGTTCCATAGTGCCCTCTAGTGGTCTGGAAGGTAGTTGGTCTCTTTACATACAACTGCTTTTAGGGTATTATAAAAATACCAAAAATATTTCTTAAACATTTGCCAGGGAGAAGGGATGTTCTTTGCACATTTTTTTGTCTTTTGACTAATGTGCGTCAAGGAGCAATGTACCTTTAGCAGGCTGCAGGTGTTAACAAAAGGAAGAACCTTCTGAAATAACAGGCAAACTCCCAGGCCAGATAGTGAGATCTCTTGCAGAGCCCTGAGGAGGTGGATGGTTTGTTCCACTGCACTATGCTGCACTGATCTTGGGAACGTGGACTGAATGGACTTTATTGTGCCTGCTGTTCTGAAATCTTTTTAAGAGTTCTTGAAGAGATTGACTTCTGACTCCAGTTCTGAAACGTTAATTGAAGGACTTGTGTACTTGGATTATTATAGGCATATCAGGCCCTAAGATGACCACTTCTCAGGAGGGGCAGGTGGATGTGTTCTCTGGGTTACAGGAATTTCCTACACCAGGGTGCACAATTTCAGTCCTGGGGGGGGCATAAGGTTTCTGGCTGTCTTCTCTTGTGCCCTTAATTAGATTCAGTAACTGAACTCTGTGTGGTTAACTGGACAAGCCAGAGGCTTTCTTTGTTCTTGTAAAGCCGACGGCGTGAAGAGATCTACAGTATACAACCTGCTGGACAGCAGCTTCTAAAGACTGATGTTGGGCTCCCTTGTCCCTCACTGACAGGCTGAGAGAACCGAACATCTATAGTCTTGAACAAAGTATGGTGCAAGAATTCAAATTCCCAAGCAGGCTTGTTAAGACTCCGCAGTGCAACACAAACCAGGAACTTGCAAGGAAGAGGAAAGCGCATTTAAAACCAAGAACTGATGGGACATCTTTACACTAAGGGTTGTGGGAGTCTTACACTCTTCTTGTGTTCCAGTGCCACTCCCAGGGTGAATGTAAAGCACAGGTAACATGTGGGAGGTGAAAGAAGGTATATGTCTGACCTGGAGTGGGCTTGTGTCCGAAGATGCCATTAAAGAAAGCTGGGAGACGGATACTTCCCCCAATATCGGAGCCAATCCCAATAACTGAGCCAGCACTGCCAAGGATACAACCCTCTCCACCTGCAGACAGGGAGAAAGAGAGGAGCAATCAGTACTACACTGTAGTGTTAATACTGTCCCTTTCTGAACACAAGGAAAGTAATACTACAGCTCTGTCTGATTGCAGACAGTATATTGTATGTACACTGTGTTGATAGTGACAGATGACTATGTATACCATACAGTATATACAGTAGGAACAGATATTGTTAATACAGTTATTGCATAGAGAGATTGTTTTGAGTATACAGTGTGTTGTACAGGCAGTGCATTGTGCTTACAGTGTTATACAGGGGACATTCCTTATGAAATCAATCACTTTTTGATCTTATCTATTGTTTATCTTATTAATTTATCTTTATTAATTATCTTAACAAATGTCCATACTTTTGCTAATTGGAAGGAGAAGTTACTGTCGTGTTTGGACCTGAATGACCAACTAGTACTCTAGACAGAGGAGAGCTCAGGATTCAATCAACTTCACTCACAGGCTCATACTTCTTATCTCACTCATATCTTACACAGAGTCACTGAGCTGTGTATGAAACTTGTGTATAGGAACACTGTGTATACTGCATATATTATGCAGCTGAAGTGCATTTACAGCCGAGACACTTCTTTACCAAAAATGATTGTGGAAGAATGGAACAAGCTACCCAGCCACATTGCTCAAACCTTATACTCTGGCTTGTTTTAAGACTCAGCCGGACAAGATCCTCAGATCAACCACTAACTACCAAAAGGGCTATATAGGCAGAATGGCCTCCACTCATTTATAAACTTTCCTAGGTTGTATAGTGAAAGTGTGCAATGTTCAGGTACAGTGTGCTACATAGTGAAAATGTGCAGTGTTCTGGTACAGTGTGTGCCGTAAGGGGACAGTGTGCCGGGTTCGGGTACAGTGCGTGCTGTACAGGGACAGTGTGCAGTGTTCAGTGACAGTGTGCGCTGTGGTTGGACAGTGTGCAGTGTTCAGGTACAGTGAAAAGTGCTGACCAGAGCTCCCTCCCACAATGCGATCGGTGCTGTAGGGGTTGTTGGTGGTACCATACAGCCAGTTGCTGGACTCCAGCCACATGCAGACCTCACTGGTGTTGGTAACTCCTAACGGTATGGCTCCTGCCCTCTTCAACAGAGCCACAGCCGAGGCATCACATCGTGTGATTAGCCCTCTACGAGACAGCAGGCCCGAGGTCTGTGGCATTCCTAGAGAGAGAGTGTAACACTGTCCATCACTGGTCAAGCCAATAAAGATCACTGAATGTGAGAGAAAGATGGTACAGGGCAGAGAGAGATGCTTAATACACTCTACAGCCACTGAGACACAGTACCAACAGATACCAGTAGTGTAGAGAGTGTGGAGAAAGAGACACTAATACAGACAGACAACGTACAGGGGCAATAAGGAGACCGTAAAAAAAGACAGAATATGAGTATGAGAGACCCAGAGAAAGCTTATCCAGGCGGGCACCAATAACAGAGAGCCAAGCAGCCAGTACCCTGCAGAGCGAAAGCCTCCTTCACCGAGAGGGGCACGCCCAGCAGAGGGAGCCGGTCCTGCAGGCTGTCCTCGTCCCCGCTCTCCTCCCGCACCAGCCGGTCCACCTGGGCCGCCTCCTGCAGGGCTGCGGGGAACCTGACGCAGACAGCACAGGGCAGCGTGCGTCAGAACAGGGCCGAGCACTGCACTGAGCGCTGCGAGAGCCGTTCAAAGGAACACACACACACTGTGAGAGACTGTATAACAAAACCAACGCCACGTCCACTTTCTTAATCATTAAAGCACTAGTACTGAGGGAGAGGTGTCCCGGGACAGTGAGGTACAGAGAGGTGGGAGAGGTGTCCCAGGACAGTGGGGTGTAGAGAGGAGGGAGAGGTGGGAGAGGTGTCCCGGGACAGTGGGGTACAGAGAGGAGGGAGAGGTGTCCCAGGACAGTGAGGTACAGAGAGGAGGGAGAGGTGTCCCAGGACAGTGAGGTACAGAGAGGAGGGAGAGGTGTCCCGGGACAGTGAGGTACAGAGAGGAGGGAGAGGTGTCCTGGGACAGTGAGGTACAGAGAGGATGGAGAGGTGTCCCGGGACAGTGGGGTACAGAGAGGACGGAGAGGTGTCCCGGGACAGTGGGGTGTAGAGAGGAGGGAGAGGTGGGAGAGGTGTCCCGGGACAGTGGGGTACAGAGGTGTCCCGGGACAGTGAGGTACAGAGAGGATGGAGAGGTGTCCCGGGACAGTGAGGTACAGAGAGGATGGAGAGGTGTCCCGGGACAGTGGGGTACAGAGAGGAGGGAGAGGTGTCCCGGGACAGTGGGGTACAGAGAGGAGGGAGTACCCAGGGACAGTGCCATACAGACAGGGACAGTTGTCCTCTAGGGAGATGCTCACCTGTCCTTGACCATTGCATTGATCAGCGGATTCACCTCCTGTATTCTGTCAATATAGGCCTGGACCACCTCCATACACGACACCTGAAACAGCAACATTCCAGTCACACAGTGCTGCACAGAAAAGGCATTTAGAAGGATTAACCCATGATGATCTAAGATGTCCTTGCTTTTTTGGGAAGAAGCAGGAAAGCACATGAGGTCACAAATGAGAGGAGGCTATTTCACCTATCTAGCTCATTTAGTAGATACTAGCTAATTGACAATGAGGATCTCATCCGACTCCATTTTGAAGGAAGCCAAGGTATCAGCTTTCACAACAAAGGCAGAGTGGTGGCACTGTAGCTAAGGCTCTGCCCATGTGGCCGGAAGGTTGCCGGTTCAAATCCTGCAGCTGGCAGACAAATCCTACTCTGTTTGGCCCCTGATCAAGGCCCTTATCTCCAAATGCTCAGGGGGTGCTGTATAAATGGCTGGCCCTTCACTCTGACCCCAAGCTTCATTCCCTGTCTGTGTATCTCAGAGAGAGCAAGTTGGGGTATGGGAAAAGACAAATTCCTAATGCAAGAAATTGTATATGGCCAATAAAGGTGATCTTATCTTATTCCACACTCCCACAACCCTTTGGGTAAAGAAGTGTCACCTGTTTTCAGTATTGAATGCACTGGCATGATGTTTTCAGTCCAGTTTCAGTTTTGCTGTTCATTCATTAAAGTCCCCAGGTTGACTTTGTGAGCTCCTTTGAAGATTTGGAAAATTTGTATCTGGTCCCTGAGCAGTCCTCACTGTTTAAGTCTAAAAAGGTTAAGTTCCATCAATCTGTCAGTGTAGGACATTCCCTTAAGATACAGAATGTATCTGGATGTTTTATCTGGACTACACAATGGCTGTGTCTTTTTCATAAGATAAGGATCCCATTACTTTTAACTTCTTTCCGATGGTACAGTATTTACCTTTTTCTATTGTTTTCCCACATCGTAGATATTGAAACATAAGGCATTGCTATGAAATGTCTCCACTTCACATTAAAGAAAATGATATTGCTGCCATGAGATATTGGTCAGTTCAGAAATGAGCAACCAGCTCCAGATCTAAACTTATAGGAATGTCCTATACTGACCAGTTAATCTTTCAGTCTTGAACAGAGAAGATTACAAGGGACCCGTTTTAAAAATTCAAAATCCTCAAAGTCAATGGAATTGTTTGTTCAGAATCATGACCCTCAGAACACAAGTAGAAACTACAGGGAAGAACATTTAAAACTGAGAATAAGAGGTGCCTGGTACTTTACACAAAGGGTTGCAGGAGTATAGATAAAGCTACCCAGCTACATTGTCTAAGCTGACACTATGTCTTATATCTAACATAACTGCTGGATGAGATATACATATCAATTACCTCCTAGCAAATTAACGAGCTTGAAAGGGTGAAGCAATTGAGGTTAAAAATGTTTCACTTCAGAAACAGTTCTCAAGGATAAAACAACATGCATGACTGCAATAATGATGTACTTATATATCTCTAGTTGTACATGCTACTTAAGGAATTATGCATTCCTCTGTTGCAGTCTATGTGGAGTTATGGATTGCCAGTTTATACTACAGTACATAGTATATGGACTTATGATGTGCCAAATAGTATTGTAAATTGCCCTGGATACTGCTGTTTATTTGCTTTTTTGCTACATTTGGCATTTTAAAAATCCTTGAAGGCATCAGACTTCACTTTGTGCCTTAATCAGATTACTCCAGGGATTCCTTGTACAGTTTCACAGTACTTTGTACTTCCCTGTGAATTTCAGGAAAAATCCGTGAACACTGCCCTCTTTCAGTGTCCAATGCAAGGTTCAAATGCACTGAACCCT